TGGCTAGGAAGGACAAGGTTCTTAAGCTTGTCCATTTGTGACTCACCTCTCCTTCCTGGGAGCTATTTGGTTCATTTTACCTCTAGAATCTTTCTAGAAATCCTTCACAAAAATCAAAAAAAGCTTTTGATGTCTTGTTATACTTCCTATCCGTCTTCTTGTTCATATAGGTCCTCTTGGTCTTCTAGTTTTGATCAATCCATTAGTTTCAAAGATATTAAAAGAAAACTTGATGAAGCTAGAAGAAGGACTTGTTCCTTTCATGAATTTGATCGGATTAAGGGTGAATTGTATAAACAAGCTAGGGAAAATATTCCATACTTTGGTGCGGATATTGGTGCATTAACATACCTAGCTTGGGAAAAGGACATTAATGACATGCATCCATTTATTGCTAGAAAAAGTAAACCTGAATCCTATTTTCATTCTAGCAATAGTGAATCTTATGTCCTTAGTCTCTACACATCTAGATTTGAAATGCAAGTAAGAGAGTGGTGGGATGAGAGACAATATCATGTTGGGATAGGTAGAAAATCTCCCATTCATAATTGGTCTGAATTAAAATCTTGCATGAGAAAAGAGTTTGTACCTTTAACTATTAAGAGAAACCTCCAATTCTTGAGAGATTACATTGAAGAAGGAAAAATATTTCTTGAAAGCTTAAATGATAATGGTTTCCTTATTAGAGAACTAGAATTTAAGATTAACCTTAAGGAGCTGCAAGCTAAGCAAATAGAATTAAAGCTAAAAAGAGATGTTGAGAGACAAGAAAGAGAGATAGAAGAAGAAGAGAGACAAAAAAGCGAGAGAGAAGAAAAACAGCGAAAGGAAGAAGAGAGACAAGAAAGAGAGAAAGAAGAAGAAGAGAGTAAGGAAAGAGAGACAAGGAAAGAGGAAAAGAAAAGAGAAGAAGAAAAGAAGAAAGCAGAGGAAAGTAAAGAGAAGGAGCTCTTGATAATGCTAGCAACTCCTACTCTTACCATCACCATGGAACCTAAAAGGGAAGGGTTCTCATTCTTTACTTCTTTTCCATTTATTGTGCACTCTTCCATTATTCATTTCTCTTTTAAATCAATTGCCATCCCATATTTTGTGCAATCCTTTTCAAAATATGGCAATTCAAACCTTGAGTTAATGTTACCTTTGTGTAAACAAGTAACTCAAGATAAAAATCCAATAACTTAGGACTATGGAATTTTCCATTTTTCCAAGCCTAAATTTCTGAAAATCTTTTTCAAAAATACAAGACTTTTCTTTTGTCTTCTTATCTTTGTTTACATCTTCTTCATCATACTCATTTTTGCAATCTTTTGTAGATATATTTTTGATCCCGGGGAACATAAAAACCAAAGTTGTGCTTCTTTCTTTCTTCCCGATTTGAGGACAAATCGTTTTTAAAGAGGGAGGGAATGATGGCAACCCCTTTAGGGACTTTCCATCCAAAGAAGTATCAACTTTACTCTATGATCTAAGAAAGGGAATTTGAATAAAGGACTTAATCTTTTCTTTCCAAGTCTTAGAATGTTCTCTTTAACTAAATACATTTACCTTGTTTTGTAGGTCACTAATAAGAGTGGAAAACCATAGCCAACCAACCAAGAAGCTTGGTGAACAAAGGGAAGCAAAGGAGGTAAAGAAAGGAAGAAAGGAAGTGCTTTTTGGATTGGAAAAGCAAAGTTGATATACAGCATACGGCCAACCAAGCAAACCAGAATTTCCACTTTCTTTTAAAGCATGTTTTCAATGTTTACCGTATGGAACATGTGGCCAGCTGTATAGCTTCTCCTGCACACTTCTTATAGAGCTTCATGTACATTGCTAATATGTCCATAGCTTGCTAGGCACGTTTCTCTTCATCTATAAAAGAGAAGCCAAATCCTTTGTAATGGTAACTTGAATTGTATAAAGAAATGCTGCTGAATTGTCCAGCCAGTTCTCACTTTCAAGTTCACTTACTTGTGCCTTCTTAGCACACTTATCCTCTAGTTTCCTTCCCCCTTGGATGGTCGTCTGAGCTAGAACCTCTGCCTACACACTCCAAAATTGCACTAGACAATTCATCAAACACCTTCCGTGTTCCTCCAACTTCATCTTCGTTTTCCAATTCCGCTGCCACCTCTGGTCTTAGAAGTTGTTCATTCTTGAAGAGTGAAGCTGCTTCCATCATGTCCTAGGTCAACTCAGAACGGAACTTGATGACAAAAGCAAGAGGTATGCTTTCATGAGCTATGATGAAGAAGCAAAAGCTTATAAGTTGTAAACCCGATTTCAACAAAATTCTAGTAAGCCGATATGTTCATGTAAATGAAAATAATGAATGGAATTGGGTTGACTTGAAGGAAAAGCTTTCAGAAATAATGATTTTTAGGGGAGAGGACTCGAGTGACAAGACTAGGTGTTCGGAGATCACATATAAAAGAGTGAATGAATATGATGAAGAAGAAGACGATTCTATAAGGCCAAATTTCGGAGTCTAAATGACATTTATAATTTTAGTGATGAAGTACATGTAATATGTCTATTGATAGTTACAAAAGATGAAGAATTTAAAGCTGTCAGCATCGTTTCAGGAATTAAGAAAGTTGATTGAAACAAAGGAAGAACAAATTTAAAGTTTATAGGAAAGTTTTGTTGATTAAACTTTAAATCATTAAATTTAATTTTTTAATATTTTGTTTGCTACTGTGCGTTTTACTTAATGCGGTCAATCACAATTGTTTGACTCGCTTGTTTTTATTTGGAAAGCAGGTAGTGAATTATATATAGAATATTATATTTCAGTTTTTATTTAAATCTGTTATAATCATTTGGAAAGCAACGAGAGTTTTTTTTTAACATAAAATGCTACAACTATAAGGCCACGTGTTCAAATTACGATGAGTTCCGTCAGCAGAGACCAAAAATTTTATATACAGGGACCAAGATGATAAAAACAATTAGAGAACAAAATAATAAAATAATTACATTAGATGTACGACTAACATATTTAGGTGAAATAAGTATGATAAGATAATGTAGAAGAGAACAAAACCTTTGATATTCCAATAGAAGCATGGATTTTACTGTACACAAGTTTCTTAGCCAAAATATGAACCGGAAGTAATAATGTGGCCATAATTCTGGCCCACAGCCAGTCCAACATTGAATTCACGTAGGAGACCTGCTTCTCGTTCATTGTTAGACATTTACCCTAAAAACATAATTTGAAAATTAGTAAAAGAAATATCTTTTTCTCATAAACAGTATTGCTATACTAGAAAGTGTGTTGCTGCTCTTCCTCATTTAAGCAATTTGCTTCACAAGTCTTGAGTGACTAAGGAACAATAAACCAGTTCACTCATCAATGAACTAAAATACCTGCAACCTTAAAGACACTCAGTTGACAACATATCCAAATCATCATGTTGTTGTTATCCTTTTCACTTATTTAGGATAAAATAAGAACTTGATAAGATAGAATGCTCCAAAAACAAGAAAAGACATAATGAAAAGAAAACACATATTTTACAGAGTAAGGCAATTAAGAATCACAGTATCCTGATTAAAAAAAATGACACTTTGGAGATCAGATAAAAAGGAGAGATACACAAACCTCATAAATGCGCTTACATTCCATGTATGCTAAGCTGACCCTAATGAATGTTAGTGCGACAAGCTTTCTAACAGCAGAACTAGTAGATATCTGCTTCATGATTCCACTGCAGAGGAAACAATCAACAAAACCAATGAAAGTTACGTTCCTAACAGTGTAAACTTTTTTGTTCCTATTAGTTTTATGCCACTTATTGTTAGTTTATTAAGTTCAAGTGGTTGCTTTCAAGCAACATATTTTTTGTACAGCACTGTTACAGATTGCAGGAATTTTCCAGTCAAATCTTCAAACACCTGCCAGTCACTCACTCACCTCAATATTAGTCGGAAACCAAATTCAAGCATTACACAGAGGAATGACTTACAGTTTAAACAAAACATACAACATGATATATCATCAATTAATAGGGTATTCATTTGAAGAGGATTTACCTGTACAAGGTTTCAAAAACTAAAGGAACAGAAATCAAGTAATGTGGTTGATAGCGTCGCAAATCATCCTAGAAAATTAGAAAGGAGAGTATGTTAATAAATGTGCATATAGATAATTAAGAAAATAACCAACTTAGCATATGTAGCAATGCATTTCCTTATATCATACTACTAATAATAATAATTGTTGAACAGAAACAATAATCCAGCATTCGAAGAAAAATCTGCTACCGCATTTTCTTTCCTTTATTAACCGTAATTTTGATGTTACATTATAACTGTGTAAGCCATAATTCCACAATGTTTATGATCAAATCAATAAAACAATACCTTCAGATTCTTCACGGTTGTGTATACTTGCTGAATTCCGCAAGTGAAAATGAAATACTCACAAGCTCTTTCGTATGCATGCCAAGGTGGCAGCATGCTTAGAAATCTATCCCCAACTTTTGCAGGTACTATGTCCCATAAGTTTTTTATCTAGAAATTCATCAATAAATCACGTATCATCAAGTGTATCATAATTGATAAATTATGTTCTGAATCTGTAAAATGGAAAAACCAATAAGCAGGGATATAAACAGGCAGGGCTTAGTTACTGTTAAGTAAAGTCAATTGTGTACTAATAAATTTGAAGGGGTCTGCAAGTTGTGAATATTTAGGTTGAAAATAAGGCTTATTTACTTAAATTGGTTAGGATTTTTCTTATAGCGTTTATGCCTTGGACTTTACAGATGAGAGCTAGATTTTTAAAATATAAATATAAGAACATTGCTTCATAAAAGTCATCCTCTATTTGACCTGATATTAATGATTGGTATGATACTATCTAGGATAATACCAATTGGGTTGTTGGTAATAATGATCAAATTAATTTCTAGAATGAAAAATGGGGTTCTAGTAGTTGTATTTCTCTTATGGCTGGTGTTCTTGATGTAGAGAGATTCAAGCTTTTGTCTAAAGCATTACACGCTTCGAGTGGTAATGTTGGTCTCTCTCTCCTCTCTCATATGATGTAATAAGCTCTTGTTCACTTGAATGGATTTGGAGAGTAATTCAATCAATTTGAGAGATTTGAAGGTAAAACTTTTTTTATTTATTTCAGTGGATTTTGGAGGTAAGTTACAGTGGATTTGAAGTAAATTTTTTTAATCTGTCACATCAATCAAATTCTACATTAATTCTCACCAACTTTACTTTCAAATCCACTTTCACTTACCTCCAAAACTCACTCAAATAAACAATAAAAAATTTATCTTTAAATCTTCTCACATTCGTTCACGTAAACAGGGGCTTAGTTTGTAGACATAATTTTTATTTTAACTTTTTAAATTCTGTAAATTAGTACCAGCAGCAGCCGTACTCCCACCAACAAAATGATACGGAGGATGAAAATGCAGATAATGCATTAACTTCTCCTGATTATGAAGATTATTAGACATGTTCTCATTAGTGTTGTTAACATTCTCATTCAACCTTTCTTAATTTCCAGATAATATGAATTTGTACATTTAGATATTTCTTTTACACATTACATTTAGATTTTATGCTAAATAAGATAATTTTATGTTATGCTGGTCTTATCTTTGGAATTGGGTAAATAAATGTTGGTTGTAATATAAATGTTGGTTTGGTGGTAGACCGGCTTCTTGGTGGAGATGTGAAAACATATTGGCCAACAAAACAGCTTTAAAGTAACCTACTATATCTGTCACTAATTGTTAATAAAAAAGTCATACCCACAAAATAATTTCTTCAATAATCATCACCAAAAATATTTTATCCATAAATTTCAACACATTTGTTTTACCGACGGATAACAAAATTCTGGATTTATTGAAAAATATGTTAGTAAATCGGATTTTTCTTATAGCAAGATAAGATGAAGTTAAGTTCAAGACTTCACTCATTCCCATGGCCATGTCATACTTCCATAACCTCGTTAACAATAATATGCACAAAAACATGTTTAGGTTTTATAGGCACAAAATTAATAGGAGGTATGTGATGAAACCTGATGCAGAAGATTCTGATGGGTGAGCATTACACCTTTCGGATTTCCAGTAGTTCCACTTGTGTATATGAGAGTAGCAATACTGTCTGAGTGTATTGGTTCATTCATACGGCGCTGTTCTGCAATTAATATAGAAAAGTACCAACATAACATATTCATTATTAATGATTATGGTTTTCAGCATAATCAAGAGTATAAGTAATATTGACATTTTATAATTTATAAACATAATTAAGCATTAGAATTTATTGTACATATAAGTTTTCTAAAATGCATACATATATTATATTTAAACAAAATTGGGATACATAACTCCCTTAAAACATTAAAATAGATATATTATATCTTATTCAATTTTTATACTGCTATCATTTATATCATAGTCTCATGTTATGTATTTTTTTTTTCTCTTTATTAATATATTAACTTTTAACTTTAAAAATTATTTTAACTTCTGCATTCATAACATAAATATTTATTTACATAATTATATTTTATAACAAAGAAATGTTTTAAAATTTTAAATTATATTATTATTAAAATTCATAATAATTAAATATTTTCAATATACAAATTATAATTTAGATTTGTAATGAATAATTTAGCGTGTGATATATGTTATTTTAAATTGAAATGAATAAACAGTTTAAAAATATAAAGTATCTATACTCATATATAAAAAAGTATTTATGTAAATATTTTAATGATTGTTTTTATTTTTATAAACTAATATTTTCTTTTTCACTTTTGATTAGTGCTAAATGACAAGAATGAAAATGTTCCAAAACTTTCTCTTAAAGTTTATCTTTGTAAAAAAACGCAACTGCGGATAATAATACATTCTATTCATTATCTCTTTATAACCCATCTTCCTTGTCAGATTATGATAGAAATATAGGCTCCAAACTCAAATTACCAATTCCAAAAAGAAAAAAAAATCCTCTTTCGCAATGCAGTTCCTTTTTGGGCTTTCATCTCTATTCTAAAACTCCACAGTTTGTTATATAATAAGGTAAATTAGTATTTTGTTTCTTTTAAAAAACTAAGGATATTGTTCACATCGTTATATATATTGGATTCTAATAACGTTCCAAATTTAGATAAGTAATGTTATTAAATGTCGACGGAGAAAAGTCAATATGAGACCTTCCACAGATATATATTGAATTTGTTCTGACAAATGTACACTAATTTTTTGGAAAAATATTTTTAGAAATATTTACCCATTGTCAGAATAAATTCAATTTTAAATTTTCTTAAAAAATTATAATTTTGTTAAACTTTTGAGATAGATTACAACATTTCCAAACGATACTAAATTTAGATAGTTTAAAATAATACAACAAAATAACATGGTAAAAATACTAACACAAAAGTGCTAATATATACACACATCTAAAAGTGCTACTATGTGTATTTTTGCTAGTACTTTTATAAAAAGTGAAGTGTAATCTGATATTGTTGACAAGATTTGTTTTTTCCTAGTTATAAAGAGGTGTGAGAAGTTTCACGAGAGAGGAAAGAAAGTGTGAAAAATTTTCAATTTAGATGACGAGAAGAGTGAAATATTTATTATCCAAGTTAGAAATTTAAGTTTATAGTATAGGAATAGATTTTTCTTTTTATAATTTGAGTTATAGTTTGTATTTTTTATCTTATCTATAAAATTAATTTAAGTCTACACTTGTTATATGAATATTAAATATTGATTAGTCACATTACAGAAAACATAACTAAGATATTATTAACTTTTGTAATCACATATCATATTAAAGTTTAAATATAAAAATTACGAGATAAAAAAATACTGGCTATAGTGTATTTATAAAAATAATATTAAAGAAGTGATAAAAAAATTAAGTAATTTTCTTATAATTTTTCTTTTTTTGCCTCTCAATATTTGGCCCGTATCTCCTCTCTATATTTTATATTTTATATTTCTACTTTTCTTCTTTTCTCCTTCACATATCCCTCCTTTGTTTTATTTACTTCTAAAGTAATTTTTAGAAATAAATGTTTTTTATAATTTACATTTTTTGTAATTATGATATTAGTATGATATTTTTTTTTTACCGCGGAAATGAAATTACTAATATTTGTGAGCATCTTTATTCTCGTATGACTTATTCCATACTCGAAGTCACACAACCAAGATTCAAACTTTAGATCATTAGGTTAAAAATAGGAACTATTTGTTATGTCAACCAATACTAAGTTAAAAATATTGTGAAAAATAATAAAATTAATAAGTAAAGAATCATATACACTTATGAATAACATTTTTATTTGTCTAATCAAAGTTAAAACAAAATAAAGAGCTAAAAATTTGAATATGATTTTAATCCGTAAAGTTTTGTTAAATTTGATTTTTTATCTCTCAAATTAAGATTGATGCTTTAGTCTTTATAACTTCTGAAAAATGTTGTTTTCAAGTTCCCTGCCAAACGTCTTCTTCGTCTTGTTTAAGAAAACTGTTTTAATAAGGTTGTGATGTAAATGATTGTAATTATTATTTTTATATCATTACACTTTTTAACAGTATTTTAGACATTAAGATTATCTAAGGATTGCTAATTTTGATGTTGATAGAAGATTAGATTTTGAGTGGTTCCCTTTTTTCACTAATATTAGTTTAAAGGTTTTCTTATAATGGATATCGGTTTAAATATTTTACTGTATTTTTACTATCAGTTTGATTTGGTCTGTGTTTTCATTTTAATGAATCATTCATGTGATTATTAAACATGACTATTTATGTCAGATGACAGTATAATAATAAGTAACCTGAGTTTGTGAAAGAAAAGATAGAATATCTAAGTTTTTTTTCTACCACAATGTTAAGCTAGATATTTTACACAAGAAACAGAGATAATATAATATAATATTATTCATGACACATTGAATCTTCACTCCTTCATGCAATCGGAAATATAATTCTTAACTTTTATTTTATTTATTATTTTTTAGAATTAAATATATTTTTAATCCTTAAATTTTAATTGAAGTTAAAATTTGACAATATCTTAAACTTTAAAAATGAATATAATTTTTTTATCCTAAATTAAATTTTGACATATCAATTGATATATTAATTAACATTTAAGTGTTTATATTCTTTATAAATTCCAAACTTAAAATTTTGACGTGTCAACTTATAATGTGATTTAATATTTAAAAAATATTAATATATTTGATTAAAAAAGTATATTAAAGACTAAATTATATTATAGTTTAAGAAATAAATAAATTTCAGTTTCACGTTTAGAATCTAAAAATATATTTAATCTTATTTTTATATATTTGAGTCAACCTGGCACCTCTCTTAGGGTGAGTAACATTATGAGAGAAAGTGAGTTAACATACCAGCCTTAGATAATGGCCTGCCACTCTCTCGTCCCAAATCTATGACTTCTGTGAAAGTAAACACTGGCACGTGCTTGCTTTCTTGATCAACCAGCTCTGATTTTTCTCCCCAAAGCAAGATAATAAACCTCATGGTAGTGCTTGAATAGAATGTGTTTGCAACCCGGTTGAACATTTCAGGGTTATCCACCACTAGTGCAACGCTGAATAACAATACCATATGCATCAAAGTCTCAACAATTCAGATTGAAAAAAGAGCACTTAAAAAAACGTGGAAACCAGTAGTTATATTGTTTAGAACAATCAATCACAAAATGTGAATGTGCAAAGATCAGCCTGAAGTAACATAATCAGATTATCGAAGATGAGACAAACCTTTCAGAGTGGTTGTATATTTGCAAAAGTTCTGCAACCGATGACCTTGAGCCTCTTACCACATTTATTGCTCCACTTGCCATCATACCTAGATTAAAAATATAACTTTGATATGATAAAAGCACAATATCGCAGACAAAGTAGTAATGTGAAACAGTTTACATCAGAATATCACTTCTAGTATTAGAACACTCAAAATTTTTCAAACTAATTTAGAACTTCTACGACTACTCATATGAACATATAAACACTGTAAATCTGTCACCAAGTTCGGCACCTCGGATACGTGCAATGTGATTATTCTTTTCATTAAATGGAGATAACACCAGAAAAACAAGCAAGTTTGAAGCATGGAGATAACTTTCAAGAAACAACATTATAGTAAAAGTTCCTTCTCACATCGAATTCATAAACACTACACATAGTTCTCAAAATTTACAATTGAGTTGTTTTAGATAAATGGTGAAGGATCCTTTGACTGTTGTGATTTTGAAATGGTACAATCAAAATTGTATGATTGTTAATTGTTTTTTATCGTAAGTTAGTAAACATAAGATTTGTGCAAATGGTACCTCCTAGACTGAATACACTGAAAGTGGAGGAAGTGAAATTTCAACGCACCTTGATCTGCTACAAGCCAATGACATGAATTGTCCGCAAAAAGTGCAACCTTCTCATCAGGTTTTACCCCTATAACTCTCAAGCCTTCTGCAAAATACAAAATTGCCTGCTCCACCTGAAATTTGATGCACAACATAAGATATCAGAATACGATTAAGCTCTCCAGCACCAAGTTTGGCATGTTATGCACCTGCTAAATTTCTAAATAAAAAAATTTGACTCACTAATGGATATGACTCTAAATCTTCCTTCACATGAACATTTCAACAAACAAAACTTCTGCATTTACCATACTTATTCCTTAGAACTTTTTTTAGTTATTTATTATGAGCATGCATGATAATTTAAAACAATTTGGCAAGAGACACAGAACAACAGAGAACAAATTTACCTGTTTATACGTCATAGTAGTAGGAGGATGATGACATGTATCTACTAAGGCTACATTGTCACCATACTTCTCCGCAGAAGATCGCCAAATATCAGGAACTACTTTCCACTCATCTGAGGCCACACCACCATTATCTACGAGTGTTGAACTTTCTAGAAAAGGGGCGCACCTTCTTATCTCAATTGTCTCTCTCTACATGCACAAGAATATCATAAAAATATAAAATAGTATGTTTTGCACTCTCTAAACACACTTGCTAAATTGATTATCCTAGTTGTTTGACACACCCTAGAGATATCTCAGCTAATGCTTTATGTGTCTCATGCAAAAACGGATGAACAATTCAGGGACAGATGATTGGGTTGAATCAATTTCATATCTCTCAACAAATTTCCATGATATTCAAAAGGGGAAAACATGGATTTAACTGGTCTAAGATGAATGAAGATAAAGTAAGGAATATCAGTGCTCTAAACTAATGACATTCTAAGACATTCATAACTCTCTTTTTTGCATGTATGCATGATAATGTCAGTTAAATTTTTTATGCTCAATTTAAAAAGTGGAAGCCAAATGAACAAGTTGGATCAGAAGGTTAGCCAAGAATTACCTCAGATCGGAAAAATACTCGGAAATGAGAGAGGGGTGAAGAGGGGGCAAGGCCATCACCATACTTGGTGGGAGAAAATTTGATCCTAGTGAAATTGGTGCGTGAGTGGAAGAGGGGAAGTGCATAATGATGATTACAGAAGGTCCATGTGTGGCTGTAGGTGATGGGAACTATGGCCATTTGGTGATTTTCTGGAGAAGGAAAACACAGAGAACCATAAAAATGCAGAAGAATGGCCTAAGACATTGTAGAGTGAAAATGATTCACTGATAAGGAGAAAATAGTTATGGTGGCTCCTTTGTAGATGTCGAAGGGAAACTAAATAGTCAAAGTGGCAGTTACTAAGCGCCGCTTTGTTCGGTGGTAGGTGGGTGGGTGGTATCGACAATGAATAGGACAACTCATTCGTATCGCATCACACAACACAACAACTTAAAACATAGTTATGATGTTTGATTTGTTTTGATTAGACTACGCAATCAATGCCATGTTTTAATTTAACTTATATTAAATTAAAATGATCTAATTTTACTTATGGGTGATAACCCTTGTTTCAGATTATTGATTTAGTGGGCGAATGAAGGGATGAATATGAAGGAATATGAGAATATATTAATTTTTGTTTATTTTTTTATTTGAGATTTGGAGACGAGTGAGAATGAATTTGGAAGTAAAATTTGTAAAAATTAGTATTACTAGTGTAGAAAAGACTTTTAACGTCACCCTTTAGAAGTCTGACCATCGAATATAAAAAATGACCGGTGACATTTTCTGTAAATAAACAACTATTTAGACGTCGGCTATGGAGGGGCCTGACGTCTAAATACTCATATACGTCGGCTCCCCTGAATAGACGCCAAACTAAACGAAAAAGTTAAAAAAATATATATTTTTATTCTATTTAGACGTCTCTTATGAGGGAACCGACTTCTAAAGCCCTTTAGAGGTCTGTTATTGGGGAACCGACGTCTAAATGCTCATCCCAGAAATTTAAAAAGTCACTTGACTTCATTTAGACGTCTGATCCCGCCACTTCAACTAAATCCATTTAGACGTCTATTATGCGGGGAACCGACGTCTAAATACGCAGTCCAGGAATTTAAAAGGTCACTTTTCGACTCCATTTAGATGTTTGATCCCGCCACTCCGACTTCTAAAGCCATTTAGACGTCTGTTATGGGGGGAACCGACGTCTAAATACGCAGCCCAGGAATTTAAAAAGTCACTTTTTGACTCCATTTAGATGTCTGATCCTGCCACTCCGACTTCTAAAGCCATTTAGACGTCTGTTATGGGGGAACCGACGTCTAAATACGCAGCCCAGGAATTTAAAAAGTCACTTTTTGACTCCATTTGGACGTCTGATCCCGCCACTCCTCCGACTTCTAAAGTCATTTAGACGTCTGTTATGGGGGGAACCGACGTCTAAATACGCAGCCCAGGAATTTAAAAGGTCACTTTTTGACTCTATTTAGACGTCTGTTATGGGAGGAACCGACTTCTAAAGCCCTTTAGATGTCTGTTATGGGGAACCGACTTCTAAATGTCGGCATTAAAACACCGTAAATGCAAGACAACCGTTACGCGCACTCATTGTTCATCATCTTCGTTGCGTTTTCTCTCTATGGGTTACGCTTTTCAGGTTCGTTTTCTCACTTTTGCACCGTTTTAAATTAATTTTACTCCTATTACATTACTCTTTGATGCATTATCTTTCATTTGAACCGATTAAAATGCGTTTTTATTGGGTTTTGGTGCAGTTATTCTCGTGTCCTTGGGCGACATTCTTCGACGGCGATTTCTTGTGTTTTGCACTCCTCCAGTTCCCTCTACTATGTTTGTAAAACCATCCAATACAAAAAAAAATGTACAATACACTCTCTTCAACTAAAATATAAAGTTGTTAACTCAAATCACCATGAGCCAGGAGCAACCTCAGAGACGTCTGACCTGTATGGATCGAACGTCTATATAGACGTCTGACCTATCCAGGCCCGACGTCTATATAGACGTCTGACCTATATAGGCTCGACATCTATATAGACGGTTGACCCATAAGGTCCGACGTCTCATTAACGTCACCCATATAGACGTCGGACAGAGATCAGACGTTAAAAGCCCAAAATAACAGACGTCTAAGTCCTTTCTGCACTATTGTATAGGATTTGATCAATGTGACCGATAAAAGAAATTGTTTAATTAGGTAAAAATTGAAAATTAACAAAAATGTTTCTAGTTATAAAAGTAATATAAAATGATAATTGTTAATTTTATATATAATTGTAAAAATGTTTATAAGGAGAAGAAAATATAAAAATTAATTTTTAAAATGTAAAAAAAATAGTAATTTAGCAAATTGAAATAATAATAATAATAATAATAATAATAATAATAATAATAATAATAATAATAATAAATAATAATAACATTAATAGGCTTAAATGCTTACTTAGTCCCTACGTTAAGTGGTAATTTTCAGTTTGGTACCCGGTTTTAAAAGTGTATACATTAGGTCCCAAAGTTGTAAAAATTGTATGAATGAAGTCTTATCTGTTAAGTTAGTAGCATGGGCGTTAACTCCGTGCTGATGTGGCGAATAAATCGGTATTTTTCTTTTCTCTTCTCTACTGTGTCCAACTTTTTCTCCCTCTTCCATTTAATGGTACATTCAAGTTCAAGGGTTTTCCTTTATTCTGATTAGAAACCCAAAAGGGTTTCTCCCTCTTATTCCACAATATGGGAGGCAATGTTCTTCATCTGGCAATGCAAGGGGCTTATCCAACCTTGCAACCATGGTCGGAATGTCATCATGCCAGAAGCGTCATCATCCCTAAGCTCCTCCTTCTCCGTGCACAGGTTCTTTGAATCCTTGCTTTCTAGAAACTCAATTTTGGTGACACAACAATTCTTGCTTGTCTTCCTCCCGCTGCCAATGGCAATCGCGGTGGTGCTCTTTTCTTGCCTCCGCCAAGCGCGACCGTCTCCTCTCCCCGCTTCCACCCTACCTTCCTCCCCATCCCTAGCATTTTTCGACACGTTCCACTCACGCACTTCTTCACTCGCTATTCCGATGAGCGCGAATTGGGGTTGAACTCGTTTAGTGTCGACTCACATTTTAACTCTTAGCTTCTGAAAGCAATCACCGATAGACAACTTGTAAACGTGCAGTGGTGATGTTGCAGCGGTGGCGCATTTGTGACTATAGGTGTTGAGTCCATGAAGATCGAAAATGGAGTAGATCCTCGAGTTGTGATTTAATCTTGATTTGATTTGGGAGACCAAGTCTTTGATTTCAAATTTTTATGTCCTTTTTTTTGCTTGATAAACTAATTTCTTATTTAGTTTTCTTCCTGTGGAGGTGGCTGTAAATGATAAAGGTTTGACTTAGGGATTTGGTGGAGGTTAGCAGAACAAAAGCAAAAAAAAGGAATGCAGAAGAATTCTTGATTGAAAGAATTAATGATTACAGTATGTAGTGGAACAATGGAGAGGAACCTACTTCGGCCCTTGCAGTCTTCAACAGTCAATTGCCTGGCACATAGTCCATTGCTCTCACCCTCTTTACAACCACACCACTTGGTCTAGACCATGTCTTGACCAAGGCCTTCCAGATTGGTATCAGGGAGGTTGAGCAAATCAAGTTTAGGCTTGCAGCTAAGGAATAATTTATGTTTGAATCTGCTTCTATTGTCTTTGTCATTGGTCTTTCACCCTTCTTTTGTTTTCTCCTTGTTGCTTTACGACATGTTTGTTGGAAAATCATAAAGGATTTAGAATGTGAGTAAATGGGGTATATTATTCATTTCTTTGATAATTTCAATTTGAAATATCATTGCACGCTTCTTATTTTGTAGGGATTATGGGCAATTCTCTTTTTGAAGAATAATCAGTGAAAACTGAATAATTCCTTTGATAAAAATGAAATTGAAACCATTAATATGGAAGAGAGAGAAAAATTAATATGAAAGAGAGAGAAAAAGCTGGACACAGTAGAGGAGAGAAAAAAAAAGTATTGATTCATTCGCCACGTCATCACCGAGTTAACATTGTTGCTACTAACTTAACGGATAAGACTTGATTCATACAATTTTTACAACTTTGAGACCCAATATATATACTTTTAAAACCGGATATCAAACTGAAAATTACCACTTAGGGACCAAATAAGCATTTAAGCCATAATAATAATAATATTAATATTATTATTATTAATATTATTATTATTATTACTTAAATAACACTGGATGATCCAAATATACCAGTCCTTGATTTGTTGGGGATTGACATGTCTTCTTGAGTTCGAATCTTCCTTGACCCATAGTATTGTTTCCTATGTCTTTTATTTAGATTGGTGGTGAGGTGTGGGTCCCATGGTGATAACAAAATAAAGGTTTAATGTCTCAATAGGTCCCTATTTTTGTTCAGAATTTGAAATAGGTCCCTTTATTTTTTGGCGTCTCAATTGGGTCCTTATTTTTATTAATTTGATGCAAATAAATCCTTTTCGTCAATTTCATCAAACGGCGTTAATGAATGTGTGACGTGGCCTGAGGACAGGATTGACACGTGTAAGGCCACGTCACACATTCATTAACGCCGTTTGATAAAATTGACGGAAAGGATTTATTTGCATCAAATTAACAAAAATAAGGACCCAATTGAGACGCCAAAAAATAAAGGGACCTATTTCAAATTCTGAACAAAAATAGGGACCTATTGAGACATTAAACCAAAAATAAAATGAAATAATGATGAGAAGACTTTGTTGGGTTGTGCACGTGTTGAAGACATGAATTGAATGTTTTCTAAAGCTTTTATCCTTTTATGATGAGAAAGAAAACATAGTTTGGTACTTTGTTTTGGATGCATTTAGCTTTTGTCTTTCCTCTTTTTTGCATAATTTGAGTTTGTGAACATGACAGTAGTTGGCAGAATGTGTTGCAATGTTTTCCATAGTTTGGTTTGTTTGTTTGCATGGTTTTGGAGAGATTGTACGGTTAAGTAAAGAAACCTATGGTTAAGTTTAGTAGGGGCATATTAAAAACGTGAGTTGTGACTTAGATAGGAACCCTACCATTCTTATATAAACCATAGTCTCTGTGAGAGAGTGGAAGAATCTACACATACTATACTAAATTGTAGGCTTGGAGAGTAGTTTGGAAGTGTGGGGAGCACTGTTGCTACGCAAGGGAAGGAAGAGGCAAGGGCGAAACCCGGGAAAAGGGTGGGGATAAAAACTTTAGAAAACATGAATTGAATATTCTTTTTCATTTAGTTTACGCTATAGAAAATGAGTGTTTTTTCCGACAGCTTTTTATCCACGGCCTAGGAGTCCTCGGTAATGCAGTGGTGAATTCATTTACCGACGGTTTAAAGACATTCGGTAATGTTTTCGAAGAATTTTAA